CTCTTTTGTGTGTGACTCAAAATTTTTCATTAGTGTTTTCAGCGTCTGGACGCTGTTCAATATCGGTTTCACGTATATTATCGATTCCAATGCTGTAGTCAGCAATCCATCTAGCAGATTTACTTGAATCAGTCAAGACTGATTCACTGATCAATGGACCACATTTCCTCTTCCTTACCATTCCTCCTTTCTTCGCACTCTGGTCGATTGCACCAGAAAGTTGTTCTCAGCAGGGGTTCAGTGGTAGCTTTATTGTCAAGAGGCCAAAAGCCATACGGCATAACATAGCGATCATAATATAGTGTGCAGGCGAAGCATTGAGGGCAAAAAGCATTCGTTGTAAAAGTTAAACATTGCAAGCCTTATCTATTCCACGATCACGCAGGCGCGTCACAATTTCTTGCGACAATTGTGCTGTCCCAAAGCCTCATCAGTCTCAGAGGACCTAAATGTTCTACGAACACAAACGAGCTTCGAAACGTTTTGTCTCGAGAAGAATTCCAGAAACTCACGAAAACTTTCATTTCACATTATAAAGCTGTCCACTCCTAGGAATTCCACTCTAACGACGTGGCTCCCGTAAAAGCAGCTTCATAATTGGTTGAGGCAATTGCCTCAACCAATTGAGGCACATGCCTAGTGAGGGTGTTATGCACCAAAATATCGCAGCAGATTTCAAAGGAATTCTGGACTGCTTTTGGAATTTGTGAAAAAGTTGGACTTTTCGTCAACTTTTTGAGTTCTTTTGAAATAAAAAATTCCGGTGCCCCTTTGGGTATAACGACTTGAAATCGATTACCATCCACCTCGACCAAGCATTTAAAGGCAAACCCCGGGATCAAACCGGTGCTATCAGCGCTTTGTAGTGATAGCTTAGCTGCGGAACGACCTGAAAGTGGAAAGGAAAGCAAGAGAAATCTTTGGGAACGCTGAAATTAAGGCCTTAACCTTCAATAGGGTCGGATGTGGTACGATGGCGAGAAAGGGCGGTCAAAGAAGACAAAATACGCGAGAGAGCACGTCGTTTGAGAGAGCACGCTGATCTCTCATCAATGCACGCTGATCTCACGCGGCGGGTGGGAAGCGTTGGAACGGGAGTCGATGGTTGCGGGCCCGTAAGGATTAGCGCCCTAACCGCGCAGTTTTTGCGACGAAGCTGGAGTGATCCAGTTACGTACGGACCTTACAATTTCCCTCGTGGTATCCCTCCTACTAGTCGGGCTAATCCCGGGGTTTGCCTTTAATCGGGAAAAGTGGCGTCAGCATATCAGAAAAGCGGACCCCACCAACGTGCTGGACAAACGCTAATGAATAAGAACACGATGATGATGATGACGATGAACGGGTGGATAGGGGAGGAGGGTGGTGCAAAAAATGTCCTGGTATCTGCTCTTTTTGACCGATGACAGCGCCATCCGAAAGAGACTCGAAGCACATCCCCAGGTCGATGTTGTGAGATCACAGCGGTTGCTAATGAAGTCGTGGATGCCAAGTTGACTAAAATTGGAGAAAGAAGCAAAAAACGTCTGTGATAACTTGATGAAAATTCCCCTTGAAATAGGGAAGGGGCGTGGCCAAACGGTTTGTACGAACTTGCCTGCTCCACGGCTCAACTAACCCGCGCGTATTTGAATTAGCCTCTACGCTGTGATGCGTATCATGGGGTGTGCGCTACATAACTTGTCTAAATGCTAACGATAAGATTTCGCCAAATGCTGTTTGTAAGACCCTAGCGCCATTGTCGCGCACTTTCGAGCGGCGACAATGGTAGTCTGTACGACTTCTGCTCACAGGGAGTATTGCTTCAAACCGTAATGAGGTCCATTCTGGCTCCAAAGCTGCTCTTCATCAGACTCAGACTCACATCAACTTCGGACATCTTTTTCTTTTGGAATCTGGAGCAAAATAATACTGAAGCTGCTGACATCACGAGAAAAACGTCTGTCAGGGCGAACAAGGACACAGTGATGGAGATAGAATTTACTGAAAAATCATTGTTTCGAACCACATTATTCCGAATGGGTACTGAGCAACAACTGAGGAATTGGTGTCATACAGGGGAAAAATTAGTTGAACACACCTTGAAAACTCATAAGATGGTATTCGTGTTTAATAAGGTTGGAGATTATCGACCGACACCATCTACTCGGGCAGTTCAAATAAAACATCTCTGTTCGTTATGCAATTTTATTTGTTGCATCAGTGGACCAGTTGGTTGCTTATCAACCGCAAATGCACTCTGTACACTTTAGGGTTGTGAAAAAGGAGCTGATGTGTGGAACTATCCCTGAGTATCAGATTTACTCTTCTTTGTTGATCAGAACATTGTATTCTCGATAGATCTGGTCTATTTGATGACTATAACGACTAACGCTGAAAATCTCTACTACATATAGAACGCTATGTCTGTCTGTCTGTGTGTGTGTGTCACGAAATTCATAGCACGCGTCGCAGCAGTCGTCAGGAGTTGATTTGGATATGATATAGGGGGTGGGACGGGAACATATTTGGTGGGGTAAGAAAGTGATAACACTGATAAGATCTGATAAGAGGCGCTAGAACGCAAGTGTCACGAAATTCATAGCGCGCGGCCCAGCAGCATTGAGGCGCTGTCCCTCAGATATGATATAGGGGGTGGGACGGGAACATATTTGGTGGGGGACAGAAAGTGATAAGGGCTGATAAGGCTGATAAGAGGCGCTGAACGCAAATTTCACGAAATTCATAGCGCGCGTCCCAGCAGCAGTGGGGCGTTGGTTCCAAGAAGTGATGTACAGGGTGGGACGGGAACATGTTCGGTGGGGGACACAAAGTGATAAGGGCGATAGGAAAGCGATAATCATAATATGCGTAGGACCATAGAAACCACTTATACCCATACCAGTTTTGCTCCGCCCGCTATCGCGCGCATCACACGGCAGGCTTTAGCGAAACTGGAGGACCCATGGAATATCAGCATGAGGTACTCCATTAACCACCTCACTATTGAATGTGTTAGACCTTTCCCAGTTTCGCTGAAGTCCATCGAGAATACGCGTGAGCTGAACTGGCATATTTATCTCACAACTGTAAACATCCAGCATTCTTCTTGAATTCAGATAATTTAGCGGTGAATAGGATTGCTGTCAGTCTCAAAATGAAAATGAAATATGCCTATTTACATAAGTGAGGAGCTAAGGCTTATCATTTATTTACATTCACCATTATTTAGAACCCCGAAAGGATTAGCGGTTTAATGAGTTTGGGCTTTCTTGATAGGAAATGAAACTTATCATTTGCTGAAGACTTGATTGAGTTTATGCAATGACTGCTTTAAGTAAGCTGGTCATACAATGATACAATGTGCACGTACCACTACAAATAGAATTTGTAAGTAGGGGCGCTCTAGTATCAGCGCAAGCTACGCAAGCTGCGTTCTGACGCGCCTTATCAGCCTTTATCAGTTGTAACCACTTTCCATCACCCAGCAACAATGTTCCCGTCCCACCCCTTATAACACTTGTAAGTATGGATTGCTCTGGTGTCAACGCGAGCTGGGTAACGAAATCGACGACTTTTGCGTTCTGACGCGCCTTATCAGCCTTTAACAGTTGTAACCACTTTCTATCACCAACCACTAATGTATGGATGTCCCACATAAAGTTTGTAAGTATGGATGCACTGGTGTCAATGCGAGCTAAGTAACGGAATCGACGACTTTCTTGAAACTTTCTTGAAACGTCCTGACGCATCTTATCAGCCCTTATCAGTTGCTATCGCTTTCATTCATGTACCACCAATGTCCCGGGACCACCCCACATAACACTTGTAAGTATAGACGCTCTAGTACCAATATGAACGACAAAACGAAATTGGCGATGCTCGCTTTCTAGCCCCTCTTATCAGATATATCAGTCGTTAGCAGTGAAGGCAAACTACTTCTTTGATGAAAACCCCCTTCAATTTGTTACATGTAATTGTTTGTAATATTTTCGTTTACATTTACTTTTGAGAGGGCACAGTGTACAACTTATATTCAAAACAGGATCACCTTAGCCTCTTTCCTGCCGGAGTTTAGCAGTGGGTAAAAGAGAGAAACATTGCCTTGTAGGCGTTGTTTATTTATGGTCTTTTAGTGGACCTTAGTGCTACTGAAGTAGGACGCAGCATTTGCTCTGCAATGCATGCTTCTATTTCTGATATATCGTGCGGTACAGAACGGTTGGATCTTTCCCTCAGGGAACTACGGCCTCGGAAAAAAGGTTTCCTTCAGAATGGCCATAGGTGACGGATCAAACTAACTATGCATCACCATTAGGATTTTGCGATCAAAGGGTAGCTTGTTAGAAATAAGGGTAGAGCAGGTGTGAAGAAGAGACCATAAAGAACAGCTCGGAACCCGAAAATGGCGCCCTCCCTTGCCTGTTCATTTCCGCATTGTTGCGACTCCATCGTTGCCCCTGCTAATGTTCAATGCTAACGCTTTCTCTGCTATCTAAGCACTCGCTGGTATAAAGCTGCGGCGAGTGACTAGATAGGGGGTGTATCAGAAAGTGATAAACATTTGTTATCTGTAGGTAGTGTATTCGGTAGTATGTATCTGTAGTGTATTCGAATTACTGTGCAAGTTTCATTGTTCAAAATTGTTTCATTGTATTGCGGAGAAAAAACTCATCTTTGTTTACAGCCCAGCCTTCCTATCCATTACCACCTCTACGAAAATTCCTTCGGATATTGCACAACATATACAGTAGTGGCCAGAAATTTATCAACCAACGGTTTTTTGACAATTTCTCCCCGCAAAATCGCTGAATCGCTCCCAAACTTGGCACAGGTATGTCGAATAAAATTAGAAACTTGTTCTTACAAATAGACCAATAAAGCTTATCTTGAAGACTGCAGTACTCGCAAGAAACTGAAAATTCCCTCCTTCCGCTTCTTAGGCCTTCAGCTCACGGTATGAATTTTTGCCTTTTTCTTCAGGATTTTTCTATTTTACTGCTTTGTATGGCATTTAGAATATGGTTAGGACGTTGGGAGCACACACCATGTCAATTGATGTGCGCAATGCCATTCTACGAGGAATTGAACAAGGAATGAAACAAACCGAACTAGCAAGACTTTTTCACGTTCATAAATCAACTATTTGCCATTTTCTGAAGAGATTCTCCGCAGATGGAGTGATTGCACCAGCGCCGATTCCAGGACGAAGCCGGATGACCTCACGACTTACCGACAGAAACATCCTCCGATTAAGTCGTGGCAATCCCAGGCTCACTTCCACCGACATCCAAAGGGAACTGGCCGTTGCCAGTGAACAAATTCCGTCGACAAGAACTATTCGGAGACGTTTACAAGCTGCCGGGCTAAATGGAAGGCGTCCTGCGAAGAAGCCGTTGATTTCGGAGAAGAATCGTGGTGCTCGTGTCAGGTGGGCACAGGAGCATATCGGTTGGACTCGCCAGCAATGGAATAATGTTCTATTTTCTGACGAATCCAAGTTCAACCTGATGGGAAGTGACGGGATCAAGTATATCAGACGTCCACTCGGCAGAAGATTCGATCCTTTGTAATCAGCTGGCCCACTGTGAAGGGTGGCGGGGGGGGGGGTGGGGGGGGGGGGGGGGGGGGGGGGGGGGGGGGGGGGGGGGGGGGGGGGGGGGGGGGGGGGGGGGGGGGGGGGGGGGGGGGGGGGGGGGGGGGGGGGGGGGGGGGGGGGGGGTGGAGGGAACGTGATGATTTGGGGATGCTTCAGTGGTCATGGAATCGGACCTCTTCGCCAAATTCATGGAGATTTGGATAGATATGGATATGAAGATATCTTAGAAACAACTATGCGTCCATTTGCACTCCAGTCCATCGGCAGGGGATTCATTTTCCAGCAAGATAACGACCCCAAGCACACTTCCGGCCACATTCGCGACTGGTTCAAGATGCGCCATGTGCAAGTTCTTGACTGGCCAAGTCAGTCTCCGGATTTAAATCCGATTGAACATTTATGGAACGAACTGGAGCGCCGCATAAAAGGCAAAACAGCAAGGAATTCGGCCGAAAAATTTGCTCAGCTTGAAGAAGCCTGGAAAAGTATCCCACAGTCTTTCCTCGACACTTTGTTAGATTCGATGCCACGAAGATGTCAGGCTGTCATTGATGCTAAGGGGTTTGCAACAAAGTACTAGTTCTGCTGATCTGTTATTGTTGAGTTACATTGGTTTTTGAAGGTTGTTATCACTGTTCTGTTTGAATAAACTGACCACATGGTTTTTTGCTCAGTGCGATAAAATCGAAAAATCGTTAATTTCTTCGGTCCTGAGTAAATTTATTACCGATTTTTTTACAGATGATGAGAAAGCACGAAGGAAGTAATTGGTGCGAGTCGGGAAGAAACCAAGCGATTTTCTGAAGAGAAATTCGTAAAAAACCGTTGGTTGATAAATTTCTGGCCACTACTGTAATGATAGGTATATAAGCACGCCACCGCAACGAACGCTCCTCAGTCTCGCCGTTCGATTGGATTAGGTGCGCTTTTCTTCTTCTGCTGCATTCTTGCCTCCTAGTGTAATCTCTTGTATCATTGCGTTGAGGTGGTGATGTGGTGCTTTATGGTGTAATCCGTGCTCGTGTTTGGTGCTTTGGTGCTATCTTTTCGCGATTTGGTGCTCTCTGTTTGGTGCAGTTCGTGCTCACATCGGTGCTTTGGTGCGATCCGGTGTGATCTGATGCAGGTAGATTTCTGGTTCCTATTACTGATTTCCATTAATCTTTGTAACCTTTTCAGCTATATATGCTGTATTTGCATTTGTATTATTTTATGTCTAATTGTTTTTGATGTCATTTATGGTTTAATTGATTATAGCTTTGCCGTTACTCGTTTAGTTACCGTTTAGTAAAGTTTGAGGCCGGCAAATTGCGCAAAGGTCCGCACCCTCAGGAGCTCCGCCTGTCTCGCCACTTAGTAAGTTTCCTCTTCTTTTACCCTCTTTCTTATCGTTGGAATTCCTTTTTGAAGCCAATTCATATGAGAAGACTTTCGGATGCGGCCACCATGCTCTGATGTTCCAGGTGCACGTTCATACATGCTTTCGCTACCTCATAGAAGGTTGACACCAGGGTCAACCGTCCGTTCGAACTGTTCGAACGAAGGGGTCGCATTTTGGTCGGAAGGGGGTCGCAATTTCGAGGACTGCCAGCCACAGGCGCGTGCGTGGCGTATCCGAGGGCAAGAATTGTTTGTGCAGACCGCATTAGATTCGATTAATTATGCACAGAGAGACAGTTTTAGGCAAATTACGGTGTTTTCTTGAGGAATAAAGAACAGTTGAATGCATCCCTATGAAAGGACTTTGACTTCTCGGGGCTGAAATTAAAGTTCTTCGGGACCTAATTTTCTGAGGACGATTCTTCCAGACAACGGTAAAACATATAAGAAAGCAGAAATCTCGTAGTCTTCAAAAATGTCTTCGCCCCTCCCCAACAAGTTCTTTGAAGGAAGTTATTATTGCTGAAAGCTCAAAAACTCGCATGTGCTGCTCAAAAACCTATGGGAACAAAATGTTCGAACGTGTGATTTTCTCGGAAAATGGATTTTGAAAAACGGTTTGGTGCTTGTCAGAAGAGCAAATCCTGTACTTTCACCCCATGAAAAAGTGCATCACAGAAATGAAAATGAAGTGAGTTATGGTCGCTGAAAGCCCAAAAACTCGCTTTTGCACGAAAAATGTTCGAACGGGACAATTTTTTGAAAAAGGGGACAATCACTAAACTTTTTATACTATTTTGTTAGAAAATATTGAAGTTTCTGAAACTTTTACAGATTTCCAAAATGTCGCATACGAAAGATTTTATGGGCCTTCAAAGTTGAAGGTGCGCCTTCTTAGAATTTTGGGTTTTCCACTTCTAACAGAAGTACTTTCCGGAGAGTTAGGCAATCCTTGTAGTTTTCTGAAAGCGCACCTCAGGCACAATCAAAATCTACCTCAACAAGTCAAAAAAATACGTCCCAAGAAAGTTATTCCCTCTCTAAAATTTTTCTTCGCCGCGTCCCGTTCTTCCAGCGCCCGGGTGATACCTGCCGCGCTCCAAGGCTGACGCCGCAACGCAGACGCTGTCTGCGGCGGCGCAGACGCTTTCTGGCGCAACGGATTCATGTCTAGCACTCTTATTAACAAAAACAGGGGGTCGCAACTGGACCCCCTCGAGAGCTAGGGGGTCGCAAAAATCCCGAAAATGTTCGAACGTGACGGTTGACCCTGGTTGAACCTCTGTCGAGGATTCCGACGACGATGTCGACGTTAGCGGTTGGCTACAAATTACAGGTGGTTACGATGCATATATCGCTGACAGATATTATTTGTTTTTTAAGCGGTACTTATCAAAAAAATTAAAGATATGTAGCAAGATGACTACAGATGACTTTGGGTGGATAACAACTACGAAAATGTCTTCCGCACGCTGAAAAAAGCTGCTCTTCGGTGTTATACATAAGCTGATGTCCCACCGTACAATTTTGCAGAAAGCTGCACAAGATATTACTCCTGCCTAGACGCAACTTTTCCATAAAATACTTTTGAGAGGGATAGCTTCTTCAGTCAATATGGTTTTCGGTTTTCAGTATAGTATTTGGCCGACAAAATCGACATCTGCAGCACTTCTTTCCTGAATTCCTGCATGGCAATATTCCATTGACAAAAAGAACTCTGCCTTTGCTGCGCATATTGAATTTCCAAGGCTTTTGACTCGTCTCCTCTACAACTTTTCTTTTTCGTGAAGTTAGAAGGATTTGGAATAAATGGTTCTCTTATAAATTTTATCAAGTCCCTTTTCTCTAATAGATATCAAAGAGTCGTTTCTAACGGCTCATGCTCTGGAACTGATTTAGGTCTTTGGGGTAGTTTATGCCAGTAACTATATACTTTAGTGTGATTTCGTTGCTTACATTGAGCTTAATCAGTTTTTTTTCTTTTCTCCTTCCCTCTCTAGTATTTCTGCCATGGAGCTGGACTTTGGCAAGGTTGGCAGATCTACTAAGTTGGTATTCGGGACTCTTCCTAACGCTACATGAGCTTGAAGTGTTAGCAGCCACTGACCGTTCTGCTTTGGGCTCCGTTTCTTGTTCTAGCAAATCCCATTTTTTGACACCATTTGGTTATATTGCATCTATTGCAGTTATCGTAGATATGTTCATACTCAGTTGCGACGTTTTTTTTTCTTGAGTTTGTTTTCCGTTGATCAATATCGATATCAACATAACTTTCAGGAAAACTCATCGTCAGTAGATTTCGGCCTTTGATAAAGATCAACTTCTTGGAACGAGAGGTCCTCATGTGCGAAGCCTTTCGAAACCTCATTCCACGATAAAGAATTTTCAGTCAGGATAACCACAGAACAACAGCAGAGATTTCTTGGTAAAAGTTGAAGAATCTTATTACACTTTATAGCATACAATACATCTGTGAATAATGAAGAGAATTCTTTGAAGCTCATGTTAAGCCAACTGAGATAAGGCAATTTGGTTCATGTAGTCCCTGTTCCTGATGCCGAAGATTCGACTTCATGGACAGTTGAAGACTGAAACTACAAATTTAGAAGTAAAATTCATCACGCAAAGATTAGAGATACGAATTATAGATCAAAATAAGCGGAAATGTCAAAACACATTTGTGACTTCGGCTGAACCATTCCATCAGTATCGTATCGAGAGCCGAGCATGGCGTCTACTCCGCAATGTGATTGAATGGTATAGCTTGAACAGCTTTGTTGTGACTGACCTCTTGAGCTCTGGGGCTTTCATGAGATAGGTTTGCGCAACTCTCGTTCTCACCCTCCGAAGGCGTTCGACCGTGTTTCCGCTGAAAGTAATGCTCCCTAAGCATTTCACTTCACCTTTCGAGCGAAAATTCATAAATCTGTAGTAGCACCGTTCCAATGCTAATATTGTGCAGAAAGCTTTGAATTACAGTTACAAGAACACGCCGTGTACGATTTGAATCTAAACCTACACGATTTGAGTGTAGGATTTTCGTACCTGCTTCATCAGATCGCCTTTAATTTCTGTATACTAACCCTGTGAAATGTATGATTTTGTCAAGCTTCAAACTTTTTACGAAACATGCAGTCGTTTGCATCGTCGAACTGTTCCATGGTCTTAAATGGAACAGTTCGGCGATGCATATATGAACCAGGGTGTCTCGAGAGTTTCTTGTATACCCCTATTACAATGCAATATTCCATTGCCTTTTCTATTGCGACTTGAAAGCTGCAAATGAACTTGTTGCTGCTCCATACCTAAAATGGAGGGTATCGAATACCTAACATCCCTGAAATGACGACAATTACGCTCCGCCCTGCTTAGATCGAAACTTTCCAGTCACCAGGAAAATAAGATCAGTTCGAAAAGGACCGAGAAAGAAATGCCTTTCTATCATAAAGGCAGCAAAGAAGATCAAACGAATTATCGTCCTATGACGCTTCTGCCAGTACTTTATAAATGTTCACACGTTGTGTACTGGCACCTATCCCCAGATCCACCAGAAGAAGCCCAGCCGATAGAACAAGCTAGTTTTCGAAGGAAATTCGCCACCACATCGCAACCTGCCGACGTATCATCAAAGCGTCCTGTGAGCACCGCCTTCCTCTCGTGATGACCTTCATTGATTACAAGAAGGCACTGAACTCGGTGTAATCTGTTTTCGTTTGCGCACACAACACGCCTCTGCGACTGGCGCAACTCTGGCCTCAATGTTGCGTTTCAATTATGCGATGTGTCGACAACATCGTGTTGATCGCGTATTCTTAGAACACGCTTCTGAGATGCTGCGTCGTCTGGAAGACCGAAGGAGTCCACTATGGTCTCATCAATACCTCTAGTAACGCAAAACCTATTCTGAGGCACCATTCGTTTCATTTACTCTTAAAAGGAAGTCTCATTGAAGACGTTGACGAGTATTATGTACCTCGAGATTCAGCTTAACATGAGGAACAATCTTACTGGAGAGCTATGACGTCGCAAAGCTGAAAGGGCCGCATTCACTTAACAAGAAGTGTAATAGAGGGCACCAAGAATCGCAGAGTCCGAGAAGACATTTTTAACTCAAAGGTGTTGCCTGCCCTCAGCTATGCAGGAGAAACCTACGCACTAGGGAACGCCGCCTTCTTGTTCTGACGTTGAGTCGCCAACACGAGCTGACACTTCATAATTCCGACTTCAGAGCCTTGTCACTCGTCGAAGATTTTTCTCTTCACGTCGATGAAGCGAAGCACAAATTCGTCGGACACCTAATGAGGAGAGATGGAATTCATCTATCGTGGGATGATACCCTGCGAAAATGAATGGCTGCAGGTTCGTCCTTCTTTACGATGGGCAGATTCCCTAGCTCACTGGAACAACGTCCGTGAACCATAATATTAGGGTGATCGCACACTAGACAACCATGAAAAGGAATTTCGGACCCGCGTAAGGCCATCCGCCGTGCTATTAGATGGGTCGTCTAAATATCTAAGAATAGAGCTAGGCACTACGACGATCATTATGTGAGAGAAAAGCCACTATTTCACAAGAATGCTGGTGTGACAAAACTTTCGCCCCAGGCGGGATTAGACTCCGCACCTCTCGCTGTTTCAGTGAGCAGCGAATAGCCCGCTCAGCTCGCTTTCCGGGCAAGTGCGCTACCAGTTACGCTACCGGGGCACCATTTCATCCCAACTCAGCTTTTCATGGTATACGTACCATAGCTTTCAGCACTCACACGTATAACGTGTTGAGCCGGTAAAGCTGAGTTGGAATGAAATGGTGCCCCGGTAGCGTAACTGGTAGCGCACTTGCCCGGAAAGCGAGAGGTGCGGGTTCTAGTCCCGCCTGGGGCGAAAGTTTTGTTCACAACCCAGCATTCTTGTGAAACTACTCCAAATCTTTTTCGCAGTTTTGGAATGGCATTGTTTGATGTTTCATAAAATCGCTCACTTTCAAATTTTTGTGGACAAGAAAAAAATTTGGATGTGTTTTATGGCGCACGTAGTTTTTCGCCACCCTGTAAAACCATAGCGAGATGGTTACTCATATATCTCTTTTTTTGTATTCTCAGATCTTGAGCGACTAGCTAACCTTCCTCTCTGATAGCCTTCTTTTGCCAATTCTTCCTAAAAAAAACCGTTTAACTACTTTTCACTCCAGGTATGGCTCAGATAGCTACCCTTCCAGTCACAAAATTCGTGTCCACGTACCGTAATCCAGCTTTATGTCTCCGTGTTGATTGAACAAGACTTTTGGTGGAAGTACCATGTCCTCTTTCTTACCTCCACGTAACCTTTTTCTTTCTTCTGTCTGAATCACTCAACATTGTAAGTTTTGAAGATTGTGTATAGCGTAGAACATGTATCAGACAGGCTTAGTCATAATTATCTGGTCAAATGAAACGATTTCGGACATGGATTTATGGTTACTGCCGCCACTTTTCAAGATTCTCGCATGTCAACGATATGATGCTGAGATTACCATGACGTCTTTTTTCTACGAAACCATCAATTGAGATACTCACGTCAATATTCTTTTTTTGTGATTGTGAGCAGGAAAACAGTGAAATTGCAGCCATTGTACCCAACACAACCATATAATATTCTGAAAGGTTACTGGCTCATGTCTGTGGCTCAAGAATTATTTCCGTCTATTTTAGTTTTTACAGCACCATGAGATGGAGAATAATCTTCGCTAAGTCGAAAATGGAGTAAATGTACAGGGGGAGGGGGAAAATCACGGCAATAAGATTGCTCTCGAAAGCTTCAAACTTCAGAATTAAAGGCGGATTACGATGGGAATATATATGTAGCTTAATGTAAATGAGTGTAGAGTTGGTCTCTGAAGCGAGGATGAAGAGGAATTTGTTTGGAACGGCTCGGAACCCGAGAAAGAGCCCCTTCCTTGCCCGTTTCCGCATTGATGCGACTCTCATCGTTGTGCCCTCTTCAACGCTAACGCTCTCTGCTATCTAATCACTCGCCGTGTATAGAACTGCGACGAGTGATCAGATAGCAGGTGGCCAGCCGACTAGATTGTCGGGCATATTCTGCGATGGGGATTGCGTGGCAGTACCTTGGACCCCTTGTATACCTGCATTTCCACTATTTAAGTTTCTCCTTCTTCGACCTTTATCAAGGAGCAGTCCTTTGAAGGCAAGCCCAGCGATAAAATGGGTGTAAAAGAACATTCAGAAAAAACCTGGAGGTGAGGAGTGGTCTGGATAAAAGCAAGAGAAAGCAGAAGTAACCCCCAATTACACTCTGAATAAGGACCTCCTCTATCTTCAGCCGCATACCTATTTGAGACAGAGAAGGGGCGAGTTGAACGAGAACTTCGTACCGCAATGTAACCACTGTAGCAACTGCGCCCGTGCTTTTCTCGCACAGTTACGTGATAGCCGAACGCGGAGGGTGGGTTTGCGAGATCGAACGAGTTTCTAGCGCGTTTGTGGCACACGCAAAAGGGGTGCAACATAAATGCTCTACTTCCCTCGGGGATTGAATAGGTAAGCGTGCCTAATCCCGGAACCTAGATCTGACCAAGGGGGTTTCAAGGAAAACTCCTGAATGTTCCAGGATAGACTGAATGCTAACAAAGCGAAGATTGTCAAGATTAGTCCAGCAAGGTCTTTAGTACTCGTGACATCGAGCAAGTTCCTAATTCTATAAAAATACCCAGTGTAATACTTGCGTGGGAAATGCTGAATTCGATGGCCCGCTTTAATCATCTTTCAACCAGCGATAAATGGCATGAAAAGTCGGGGACAAGTCCGATGGCACATATTCACACAATTCAAAAAATGCATAATTCTCAGGATCGTTAGTTCATGCGTCAGCGTAGACAGGGGCAGTTCAAGGAGCAATTGTATTACATTTGATTACTTCTCATGCTCGCAGATCCTGCTAATTCGCGATAAGTAGGCAGCTGATATCATGATCGCCTGTAAACCCACTCTTGACCATCCCACATGAAATCGGGGTCACAGCTAGAAGGCGACGGGGAGAACGGACGAGCGGAGAGAAGCCAATCGCCAACAATCCTATGGTACGAATCAGTGCTTCGTATCATTCTGACATACTGAGGATAGCGATCCCATATATGATCTACTACTATTTGAGGCACCTTCTCAGATAATGCTCCAGCAGAAACCACCGAGTTACGGGCCGCAGCAGTGTCGGCAGCATATGCTGCCGACACGCCCACTAGTCTCTGACTGGCTGGCTCGTGTCTGCACGCAGTAACCTTTGTGGTGGTAGCCAATCACGGACGAGTGGGCGTGTCGGCAGCATATGCTGCCGACACTGCTGCGGCCCGTAACTCGGTGGTTTCTGCTGGAGCATTATCTGAGTTTGTTGGGCTATGCGTTCCCTCCACGGGGTTTCAGTCATACACGTCTGGAAGTGAGCGTGACGTTGGCATCCCTGGTGGGAAGGGAGAAACTCTGGAAGAACGAAGATTGTCACGCACCCGGAAGTCTCTCCCTCACCTCCCTCAGGGCTTGGTCCTGAAGAGTTGTGTCAGTCCTGTTTTGAAGTCCTGTGGACGTAGAATAGGGACCGTGATTTTGAGTTTCATCCAGTGCGGCTATTGCAACACTGTATTCCATTCGAAATAAGGTCACCATAGGTTTTGCACTGTTGTAAAATACGGGTACATTGTTATGATAATGCATTCAAAACCGCCCGAAACATCCCTTTTCGTAACGACGGGACTAATGTAAGCCTTAGGCAATGGAGGAATGACTACAGGGTGCGTAAGCCATTTTCATTCTCTCGGAGTTCCAGCCCCTCCCAAGCTTGGTCCAAGACGATGCCAACTAATCTTCCGACAGATCCTTAGGTTTTCTATTTATCTATTCTATATTATATTTTTTCTTTCTTTCTGAATGAGATCAGTGCAGGTCTTTCAACCGTATGTTAGAAGAAAATGTGTCTCAAGGTGTTGTACATATCCTCACAGAAAATACAAAAGAACAGTTTCAAGAAAAGGTTAACCATAAAACTTGCCACTTTTTCGTTAGGAAGGGCATTTAAGTGAGTGAGCCAGTTACATACTTGAGACTAAACTTAACCAAGGAGAAGGGGTTTCGGGAGAGGATGATAGCATTTCGTTCTCTATAGAATTCCTCCCCTCTTTTGGGCTTAGTCACCTAAGAGCTGTTTTCAGATGCCTTGTTTCGAATGTTCCCTAAGGCCATGGGCGCCCAAAAACTGTATTGACAAAGGAGTGATCTTGAAAATATTGAATTATTGACAATACCCGTTATATCAGCAAATTCGTTGCTCATCGACCTCTGTACAACACCATCTGACGTCGGAGATGAAGCAGAATGACTAGTATATACTACATGAAACGGTTATGTTTATCACAAATGGGTGGGTTTTAGGGTGAACTGGTTGTATCATCACCGCGGAGCGTTGAAATAATTGTTCAATTTCATTTTTAGCGCTCACCGTCAATGAATACCGCGAACTCTGCCGTATGCGGAATAAATAGTCGCTCAGACGAAGAGGCATTTTTTACCATTTCAGAGCTTCCTTCTTGATTGCTTAAAGCCACGAGTCAGGATTAGGTGACCATAGAAGGCCTTTCCATCACTAATATTTCCAGGAATGCGCTCAGAGGGGTGATGCCACACTCCTGACTCGAGATTGCGCGCCGTCAAGGCCTCTGGCCTACTACTTACAGCGATGGGTTCGTTTCATCAGCTGGTCCCGCCCACCGCGGGATGTGGTGCGTGGCTGGCCTAACGTGTGAGATCAGCTAGGTTGATTGCCGTATCAACCGATGGAACGGCTGGCATATCCGGAAAACTCGTTTGGACGTGGCTCTCCCCCGAGCAAGCCTCCTTCACTGCTAGAAGGGAAGGGGTTTCGATTTCGGTCTTGTCGACGGTTTCTTTGCGTTTTTCTTCACTGTCGTTCCACCTCCCATCTCTACACTCAATTTCAGGCGCCATAATGCCCAAACACGAGCCTGACTTTTGCCTTTAAACAATAGTTTTTGCAAGGGAGCGCTATTTTACACGAGTATTTGGCGTTAAAGGCACGCTCCGCGATTAGGCGCGCTCGCCTGTTCCATCCCGGGGGTAGTAGGCAGGTGGACAAGTGTTGATGTCGCGCCCCTTTTGCGCTTGAAAGTGCGCGACAAAGGCGCAAGGAGCTCGTCCGACCCGCAACTCACACCTTCGTCCGCAAGCCCCACCCTCCGCTGTCGGTTGCCACGTGGCGCTGCTTGAAAAGCGCGGGCGCATTTGAGGCAGCGGTCCCATCGCGATCCAATGTCATTGGCACTGGAGCAAGTAGAGTTAGGTTCGTGAAACTCGTCCAACGCGCCTCTTCTCTATCCCAAGGTGGAATGTGGCTGAAATAGGGGAGGTCTCTGTACGGGGCGTAATCGGTGGTTTCGTTTGCTTTCCTTCTCTTTTACAGACCACCTCCCACCTATAGCTTCATAACTGAACGCTTTTCCACACCTATTTTATCCCGAATCTTGCCCTTGAAGCGCTTTTCTTCAGAGGCTTTTATATTGGTCGGAGAATGGGGGAACGAGTGGACCGTGGCAAGAATAACTCTGTTCTTTATTCACTGTACATAGCACTATGAAACGAATACACACGAGTCACAACAACCTTATCATTGTTGTCCTTTCGTATGCAATTGCACTCAATAATGAGACCCAGCAGTTGAACAAAATTGAGACGCCACTTCAACCAGTCGCCTACAAGTCCTGAGCTCTAACCAGTGCAGCGTACTTCCCGTTGATTTTGATGAGTTCGGCATGGGTTCCACTTTCTTCCACCACTCCGTTGTCGATGTAGAGTATTCTGAAAAAGGGAATTTCACTCTTTCTTCTTTCGATCAGTACTAACATAGATTAAATATTGGGGTAACGATCATGTCAAGGGCATGGGTCGGGAGCTAGTTGGTGTACAAGAAGTTCAATGAGGGACATATATGTCGGAGAGGTCCTGGTAAGTCGGAGAGACATAGCGCTGTGAGGAATAATACGCGAGAGGGCGCAAACACCACGTATGCGGCGATTGATAAGGATGGCGGGTATCCGACAGGAGGCCCGTCGCGCGGCAAAGCAGAGTCAGCGGACGAGTCGCAGCGCGTGATGTGCGATGTAGGACGTACAATGGTACATTCTATTTAACTTGACGCGAAATCACTACAGTACGCGCTGCGACTCGTCCGCTGACTCTGCCTTGTTGCCGCGCGACGGGCCTCCTGTCGGGCACACAGGATGGCGGCACGGCAGAACAGATGACGAGGCCCCTTGAGTCGCGACAATGTCGCAGCTCCTACGTGCGTACCCGACCCGACCCGTGGCTTAAACAGTGCAAGATACGGATGTCATCCCTCGTTCTCCCTCCGAGAGGGACTGCTTTTTGGCACTTCATCCCGACCCTTGGCTTGAACAATGCAAGATACGAGGTGTCATCCAGTCGGTACAGATCGCTGATCGTTTACGAACGCACATTACTCTACTTACCGATCACAGTTTTGAACACTGCTCAGTCGATGAGCCACAGTAATAACTGTACGACCAAGCTTTGCCTTGTCCAGTGCTTGCTGAACCAACTGAAATTGAAGCACTTTATAAATTTTCTCTCTGAGAACAGCTACTAATAGCAGTAATTTACAGCAAAGGTCACAGGATAAAACTCTACCTGTTCACTCTGAGCATCAAGCGCGCTCGTGGCTTCATCCAAAAGAAGAATCTTAGGCTTCCGAACCAACGCTCGCGCGATTGCAATGCGTTGTTTTTGGCCTCCTGACAGCGATCGTCCTTTTTCACCAACATCTGTGTCATAGCTCTGAATTAATGATTATTTTCTGGGTGCAGATCAAGGTAAGACTTCATATTAATTCATTTTCTGCTGTCTGTACCTCTGGTAGTGCTTCTATAAATGTGGAAGCGTTCGCTAGGCGACACGCTTCGATGGCATCTCCCTCAGTACATTTATCAGCGCCCAGAAGCACGTTCTCGAGAATCGTTCCTGAAAATATGTCGTGGATCGTATAACGCCTACAATTTCTGCATGTGCAGTTTAGAATGAGCGGAACTCTGTACATATGTTGCCATAGGTGAAAATATTTTATAGAAGGTTCTTGAGCATCGTGGAAATCATTTAAATTGCAGTTGGTGCGGGGATCCCTCTACAATGCAAATATGTAACTTTACAACATACTTTTTATGTAACTCTATAAGCAAGACTTGACCCCAAAAAATCTGTCATACACACTTCTCTCAGCATTATACCGTTAAAGGCAGCGATTACGATAAAGAGGGAGCGCATCGGGGAAGCATATGCACCACACGAATCAGTTACTTGGCTGCCAAGGAAGCGAGGTGTGGCGCTTTCACGACGAAAGGTGCGCTGGTTGCTGAGCAGGACTTCGAAAGCACTCCGCCCCCAAAAGCGATCCGCCCACTAGTTTACTTGGTGATTTGGACGAGCTGCGTGGCCAGCAGCGGCGCAAATGGAGCATCTCGATTAAGCGTGGTTTGGCATGGTGCCATCAAACGCGTTGCGGTGAACTCGTTCATACGTCCACTTTCTGAGCTGTTACCTGTTCATGAGTGAAAACCAACGGCCAAAAAAGGGGTCCCGTTTTGCGTTTTCTTGACGGATTTTTCCGCTTTTTTCGCCACTGGCGTACCATTGAGCACCACCACGTTACAATATGCCCTTCTTGAATTTTTCGTGATCGCTGCCTTTAACCAGGATCGTCGAGCAAATCAACCGACGCTATCATGTTTATCCACCCGTCACCTTGTGAGAATTATTGAACTTTCAAGTCATAATAATAACTACCAATAATACTAATAAGAATAATATTGTGATAATCAATAATAATAAGTAATTCTGGGACATACCTTTGAACAAAACTGGTTCCTGGCCGACCAGCGCTATGTTATCGCGCAAATGCTGTGTATTGATCTCCACGATATTTTTTCCATCCAGATTCTGGAAATATCAGTGAGTGTTGTCGCGATTCATGCACTGAAATATCAGATCGCCCTAAGATTTCTAGACCAGCTCGGTGCAGGAAAGGTGCCAAGAGATCTCTCGAAGGTAAGGCCGGGATCAGCCCGACTTTGCAGATTCTGTACTCGATTAGCGATGAAGGCTCATGCCAAAAAAAGGGACGTTGTGGCGTCCGCTTGTGTTAAGGGCAGGTGTGTTGCCGCCACACGTGTTCACGTTTCAAACGCTATGTTCCCCGCTATTATTCTGTTATTTTAATTTATGAGGAGACCTAGCGTTGAAAGCTTTTGCATTGCTGAAGCCTACATTTTCTAACCTTCTTTGTTAAAATTTTCATGCCAAAAAATGTAGTTCTGAAATTATGATGTAACATACCAGTACGTGTCATAAGAACGAAATAGTGAATAACTCACAATTGAGCCCTCCTGAGCGTCATAAAACCTTTGAAGAAGATTAATGATCGTGCTTTTCCCAGATCCGGACGGTCCAACCAATGCGATTGATTCTCCACGACAAGCGTTGAAGGAGAGGCCATTAGCGATGTGGAAATTTGGACGGTTCGGATACGAGAACACCATCTTGCTCACACTTACATCACCAATAAGCTCCTGCAACGGTTCAGACTGGGCAGGGCTAGGATTTTCATAAGAGACAATACGAAATGTGGTTGCTCAGCTAAAGCTCAAAGCCGTCGGAAGTCCTGCAATGATCTTCAACATAGGCGTATCTTCCCCCTTATCATCTGTTCTTTATGGGATGAAAAGAAGACCCTGAAACACTTTCCCATGTTTGATTTTGAATTTTATCTTTTTTGTTTACAACTCCTGACCGGTCTATATCTACCATGAGTGTCCACCACTTGTCTTCAACGCTCAGAAAATTTCTTGATGCTCCTTTTCCAAAACCCAGCGGAGTGCGGGTCGAGAAAGGAGGCGACCTCACTTTCGAGTTGGAGTTGATCGTCTAATTATTTCGTCATCAAGATGATGATTTAAGGTCCAGGATAGGTGGCAGTCATTTATAGCTCGACCAGGGGAATACGCTAAGAGAGGTAAGAAATCTTGCCGCAGCTCCAGAATTTCTTACCGGGCTCATTTCGGATGGTGATTCGCAATGTCATGAAAGAAATGAATATTGTCGCGGTACGAGGGCTCCTGACGAGCTGCCTCGGCCAGCTTCTGGTTCCGCAGCCTAGACCTCTACCTACACAATGGTGCCCATAACGAAGAATTTGTAGTGGAGCTTCCGTAAGAGCCCTACCTGTAATGGAGTGTGAGGGACGCTGCTGGCTTCTTATAAAAATATCAAAAGATCTGGTAAAGGTGAAACACGCTGTAGCGGTGAACGGCATGCCTATTGAAGCTATTGCAGATAGTGTCGGTCGTTGACACGAATCCATAGTTTTGGAGACATTTGTACTAGACAGTGACTCGGAGTATGGATTTACTAGTGGTCGAGATTTTTTGAATTTTCTTTCTTGGATAACTACTGACTGCAGCACTTATATCCACCTCGTGGATTGAAGCCTCGAGAATGCTCTACCATTTGTTAGTCATAAATGTTACCTATGAATTTTTCAGAAAAAAAGAAAATTTTAGAAAGAGTGTTGCAGAACTTTCTTTCCAACCTAATATTTGAAAAAGAAACATAGTCCTCTAGAAGCCTTCTCTACGCCATTGTCTCGAGATTTGAAATTGTTTCACTAAGCCAGCTTGAATAAAAGATGAAATGATGACAGGTTTAACACAACGAAGGAGTTAAATGTCTGGACGGAATTCAGTGAATGATTAATTTTTCAGTTACCCATGAAGTCCTCAGTTGTATTTCGGTGTAAGATTATTGTTTTTGGCTGCTCTTACAAGTTACATTCATATTCCTTCAACTGCTATTTTTACAACAAAATGCTTTACCATCATCGAACGAGGGTGCTTTCGGCCTGCTCACATTTGAACCATATTTATTGTTATGCACGTTAGGGTGCGCATCTTTTGTCTATTACAATACCGCCACTAACTTTTGAAATTTCTCCGCTGAGCGACGGATTTGCAGCGTCGCAAAGCGTCGCCCCTTCATAACTCCCCCCAAAGCGGGTCAAATGATTGGTGCTCTACACCATTGGACTCGTCTCTCTGTGGCGAGTCTAACCATGTGGAAAACTACGGTACTCGCCGTAAAAAATCGAAAAAAACACGCGAAAAACGCAAATTCGCGTTTCTTTTTCGTTTTTTCGTTATAACTCGCTTCAGAATTAAGATTTTCGAAATCTGAAAAAAGCATTGAACTCAGCTCGTCGAGTTCTATAAGAATATGCTTTTAAACTTTTGGAAAGCCCTACTTCAGATTGCGCCATGCACTCGAGCTTTGGCCCGAGAAAAAACTGTTCGAATGTGGTGCGCATATAACCCCGCTCATGCATCATGATCGTTCTTCAGAGAGATGGTTCTCAGCAATGGCCGTAGAACGCGCCGCGTATTCAACA